GGTAAATAAAAATGTGTAAAATGAATATGATGTATGAAAATGTGTAAAAAATATAGTATTGACTTAGAGTTGCAAAGCAACAAAATATTATACAATATTTACATTGTTAAAAAAAAACCAAACTACTTACTACTGAGTAATTCTAATACACTTGTGCCATATTCACAATATATAGGATGCTCAGAATAAGACAACAAAGTGCTTTTGACAATTACAAGCAACAGCAGTAAATCCATCAACCACGACCTCCACATAAAAAACAAATTATAGCCGCAATAAATGTAATCAGTTTATTCCCATCAGGTTATGCCATGACACCTGAAAATCTGTGAAGAGACGGCCCACTCAGTCACACAATTCTTGGTTTTTACACGAGTTCCTTTACTCCCAATATGAATGATGGAATCCCAGTCGTAATAACATGAGACTGGTACTCAGCGAACCGTAAATTAGTATATCTCACACTGGTTGGAATTAAATAGATTCAAAAATGAGGCCAACTTTTATGATGATCCTTTGCATTGAACTAATTGCAGGAGTAGTAGTAATAATATATCTGACTGATTTTAATCCTCTGATATTGTGGCACTCGTACAAGCTCTGAAATTAGTTTTGAAATCCAATAAATGCCAGATGTGGGCCTTCCACAATCACTTGCTGGTATTTGAAATAGTCTTAGTTTATGAAAAATGTAGTAAATATATATTTTTATTTTACAGTGCTCAAATGAGAAATTCTTACGATTGAATGTATGATTGTAACATTATATGTTCCTGTTCAACGACAGTTATGTTACTTATCTATTTGTTTATGTTGTATACATCATACTTTTTCATTTTTGTCATATTGTTAATTATTGTAGTTATTCTCTACTTTATATGATTTGCATTTCAAAACCTCTTTGTACTAGTATGATATTAATGTGTTTAATTCTATAAGTGCATTTTATTATAGAAAATACAATGGGCTATTGCTCCTATATGCTATAAGCCCCGGGAGAGAACTGTTGTTTCTATATCTATAGATTGTATCTATGATTAGTTTATGTAAAATCTTATCTTATATGTTGCATAGGCCAAACCAGTCACTCTTCGCAAAAACCGATTTTTAGTTATTAATACAGGGTTAAACAATTAAAATGAGAGCTATAAAATGGTAAAAGAATCACTTAAATCTGACTGTTATCTGACATTTCTTATGAAGTTACAGTTCAAACATACAGTTGTCAGCCATCAAAGTTTCTCAGGCAGAAACCATAACCATCACCAAATCTATAAAAATTAATTTTTTAACATTGAAAATATGGAAAATAACAACATAGCATGATGTATAGAATAAACCTTAAATACTTAGTTTAGTATAGATTTTAAAAAAATATATTTCAAAAATGTTGACATTCCAGCATGTTTTTTGGGCATTTTCTCTGAAACACGATGATTTGCAATGAGTGACTGGTTTGGTTTGTCTTTGCCACATATTTATTTTTAATCTTGTACATTGTATGCACAATGATTTTTTTTGCCTTTCAAATGTCTGCGATTCAAACTGAGCCAGTACTTCTTATTCCGTCCATTTGGTTAAAAAAAAGCCATTCTAATCGTATTTTTCATATTCTGTCTTTCTCTGTACATTCCTTATTAATTTTCCTATACAATATTGATGCTTACTGTGTCTTTTGAAATTTCACTTAATTGAACAATATAAATTTTATTAAATTTGATATTAAATAAATGATGATCTAATTAATTCCCCATGGCAGTTGTTAATGAATGTGATTTAATGCTATCCAATGCAATTATCATTTACATTATTTCACACCTCGTATTTATTATGCATTAGCAGTTTACATAGGACGTAATATATTACTCCTGGTGATTGGTTCAGCAGGCCTATTAGAAAGCATACATGGAGTGCAACCATCTTCTTCATGGAGATACCGTATCTATTCAAATGAACGCCCCGCATTGAATAAATTGAAATACTTATATTCTCGTGACTAACACAGCTCTCTAAGCCTTGTGATGAGGCTTGGTTTATGATGCATCACATTATTTCATATATTTTAAGAAGGCTTCTGAGTATCAGCTGACCCTATAGAATAAGTGGATGGGTCGCCTTTAATAAAAAAAAAGACAGTTCTAATTGATTTACAATAGTTGATAAGTATGTATTTGTTTCCTGACAACAGTGGCGGTACCAATGTCTGAAATCTGGTGGGGACAAGTGAGGGGCCAGGTACAATTTTGGGGAGGGGGAGAAGGTCCCAGACAAGAGCCAAGTGGGCGAGGTTGGGTGTCGATTAACATGTTTTGAAAGTATGACAGTTTAGGGGTTTCAGAGGCTTTATTTAATCGATTTTACATATAGGTAGTCTACTAATATGTAGAAAATACATTTTTTTTTCTCTCCTCGACGAATTGGGATTTTTCTTCTTTTCTGGAGGGAGGGACAAGACAATTTTTTGGGGGAAAATGCCCTCCCCCATAGCGCTGCCACTGCCTGTCAAACATTAGGTTTGTAGACCAAAATTCTGATGTTTGATGTAGATTTAAAAAATTAAGGCAACTTATGCAACATATGGTTCTATTGATTTTTTTTTTTTAAATGACAAGTTTAGATATCACACCAGTGGCGGTATGGGCATAAGAAGGTGGGCATATTACCCAGAATATATTTGCACCCCCTTCCACACATCAGTGTCTGAGCAAGTTATATGCACTCAACTTATTGCTGCATATATTATTACTTTATTCTCTCAGCAGTAATTAATTCCCATTGTCCCTCCACCCATTAGCCTCTCTTCACCCCATTTTAAATGATTCCTTTCAAAACCTGCACAAAGTCCATAATAATTTATAAGGAGAAAATGGCATACACATCTTCGAAGAGAGTATGTAATCGAAAGAATGTACACACATTTTTTTTCATCAGTCTACCTAAAACATGTTTTGCCATGTATTGCGATAAGACAAACTGGAAATCTTATATGCCCCTATCCCCCTCCCCTCGATTTAATCAACAGAGAATAAAATACAAACCTAAGTTGCAAAACGCTACATTAAGTTTCACACATCTAAAATCAGAAAACAAAATGCCCCCCCCCCCATCATGGAATTAAATTAAAGAATCAAATTACAATGTAAACTAACTACCAATTTAGCCGACTTGTATACATGGAGAGTATACCATTTAAGATTCAAGATTTCTTCAGATATTTAAATAAAACCATCCAATGCTGAACTGAAAGGCATACATCAAGTTGTCAACAAACAAATGACAAAATTACATGGACATTAATTTCTATTTACCAATCAATAACAATTACATCAAAACCTTAGGATAACAAATTTGATAAGATGTCGAAGGTCATGAAATCGACTGTGACTGAAATACAAACCTAGGACGCAGGAAATGTATCCTTAGGGATGTCCCCTAATAGAGTTTAGCTGTGGTGTTAAAAGATATCTTTTTCTCTTTCCTTGCGACCCAAAAAATGTCCCCTTAATATAGGTATCTCCTGAAGAGGCATGTCCCAGAGGATAGATGTTCTACTGTATTGAATTATACTTGTAACATCTAAAATAAGTAATAATTTGAAAATAATATCAATTTTTATGAAATATCAGTTTTTTTTAAATAAAAAAATCCAACCGCATATGAGAAAATTACTATTTACTAGTTGGGATGCTTCGATAAATTACAACAAGTATGTTCTCTGCACATAACATTCTCGGTGAAAACATTGCAGTGCGGAAATACTTTGATTCAGATGCAAAACATTGTAGATAGTAACTACCGATATGTTATTCTTTATTTATTTGAGAAGAACTTGCCTTCACATATTATATGTAATCCTGAAGACAAACTCCAACTTATATTGATTGATTTCTTTGAGGTATCTGCGTGATAATGACTGCTTGATTATCCATCACTCCTATTGACCATTGCTGTACACATTAGGCTTAAAAGACTGTTGTGTTTTTTTTGTTGTTAATGGAGATTAACAAATAGCTACTAAGTTTGCTGCTTTTTAACTAAATCCATTACGTAGCACCGACCAAACTAACACATAATGTCAAGGACAACCCTGATTTATTATACTAATCTTGCAAATTTATCCTAAAGTAATTAAGTCTTGGGAAATAGTGGTGTTTTTTTTTATCTTGGAATAGATGAAAGTGTTAACCCTGTTATATATATTAATATTGGAGGATAATTATTATTAACATATCCATGCTACTGTGGTACATAAAATAAAAAATGATTAAATAATGTTTGAAAGTTATGACAATCTTAGCACAACAAAATTGACAATTCTCTTAAAGGGATCACTATCATCCCCCACCACTCTAGCATTCCCGGATCTAATAATAATAAATAATAATAATAATAATAATAATAATAATAATAGTGATAATAATAATAATAATAGTGATAATAATAATAATAATAGTAATAATAATAATAATAATAATAATAATAATAATAATAATAATAATAATGAAAATAATAATAATAATAATAATAATAACTTTTCTGTGGTCTCAAATTTCAAATTCAAATGTCTTTATTATTCTATTTAGAGACCAAAGTTGCTAAAAACCATGGAAAACTCCTGGTCCCAAAATTGGTCTTTAATTGGAGGGAGAACTGTAGTTAGGTTTCTTTATTTTTTATTTTTTTTATTTATTTTTTTTTTTGTAAATTTTATTAATCTGCACAATCTTGTATTTTTATGTGGGCATTAATTAAATGAAATGAAAACTGTTGTTGGACTTCAATTTTAATTAAAATCTTAATTACATCCCTTAATTGGATTTGCATATTTTGATGAAATTTAATTTCTGGACAATTGAAACATCTTTATTTGCATTAAAATTTTTCCCTAGCAATAACAATCTGCTAGAAGGGGAATGAAATGATCTCATTATATTAAGGTTTTTTTTTTTTTATTATAATTGGTAGGTTTGATGAGTTCAACTGATTAGTTTTTGTGAGAAAAGAAAGGTGTACTTATTTTTCGTGTGTTATTAAAGTTTTTTTTCAGATGATATTGACTGAACTACTGTCTGTGAGTGCCACTTTTGTAAACAACAAACAAATATATAAAGATATTTGGAATAAGTTATTTATTTAATTCATTCATTTATTTATTTAGTTTTTTTCATTTTATTTAATGTATTTTTTTTTTAATTTATACTACATAAACATTTTTGTACTGTGCAACTAGGACATGGAATGAGCTTCCAAACTAAATTAGAATTTATTTTAATGATACTTAACTGACAATATACCAAACTTTGAAATATTTTTATTCTTTTTTACTGCAAAGTTGATCTCTTGCCTTGATCCAAATTAAATTAGTTCTTTTCTTTGTATTTTAATGTTAATATTTTCTTTTTATTATTATTACTCTTCATTTGATTTTTATTTCTGATTTGCATTTCCGGTGTATTTTTTTTTCATTCA